ACGAAAACTAATTTCGCGACTTATGATTCCCCCATGCGTACTTGAAAATGTAACGAACAAAAACGAGTAATAAAATGTTTAATCGTTTACGGTGGAACGTTTGAGCGCCGGCTGGAATAAGGTTATAACGTAAAATATGAAATATCTCGTGAAGTAGTGTGCGTTCTATGGGTCCTGTACGTGTACTTTTATGTGCGAAAACGATAAGAAGAATCGCTTTGCACACGGTCCTGTGCACTTTTTAATGAGTTCATTCTCTCAAACTTAAATTCCCAAAGACTTGGAAGAAATTTAATTTACTCAATAAACTGACATATTTATTTGATTTTGGTATATAAAAATTTGTCTAATTTCGGTAGAAGACACTGTTGTACCATCGAAAAAAAATGTATAACTAGCAGACTGTTCTATCAGTAAAATTTACTCCAGCGTCTGACTAGACCCGTATACATACTACTTACTTTTCAATCAGATACTATGTGCATCATTCCAAACGTATAAATTTCGTTATTAGTGTGTAAAAATTGTCTAAATCTCCTACAAGATACCGTTGTGTGCCCATGCATTAATTGAAACGATTGGAAAAAAATTTATAGCAAGAAGATTAGTCCATCAGTAACATTTACCCTAGCGTCTGACTAGACCCGTATACGTACTACTTACTTTTCAATCAGATACTGTGTACAGGATTCCAAACGTATAAACTTCATTTTTAAAAATTATTTTTGTATAAAGATTGTCTATTTTCTTTAGAAGACACCGTTATATGTGCATGTATTCATTGAAAAACAATTAACATCAAGTAAACTATCCTATGAGTAATATATACGCCAGCGTCTGACTAAACCCGTATACGTACTACTTAGTTTTCAATCAGATACTGTGTACAGTATTACAACGTATAAATTTCATTTTTTTTAATTATTTTTGTATAAAAATTGCCTAATTCCTTTAGAAGACACCGTTATATGTGCATGTATTCATTGAAAAACAATTAACATCAAGTAAACTATCCTATGAGTAATATATACGCCAGCGTCTGACTAGACCCGTATACGTACTACTTACTTTTCAATCAGATAGTATGCATAAACGTATAAATTTCGTAACAAACAGTTGTTGTACGTCCCGTAGAAGAGTTCTATATGAAGATGTGTGTCTAATTTTATTGTGAAATATAATGTTTTATTCCCAAAAATGGAGTCGCCCGCGCGATTAAGCCATCGCTCGCGGTCGGACGTTCGCGGAGTTTCAATCCGGGCGACAATTTCTCCGGTCATATCAGCCCTTTCGCAGCTTGCACCGGTAATCTTGAACGTATCCGCTGGAAATTGATTTACTTCGCGCACGTTTCGAATTTATTTCAAACTTGGAAAATCCTGTACATTTCGGCACTGTCGATTACCAAGCTCCGATCCTCTCTACGTGAATCGAATCACCGCGGCCCTTCGCGTACGATACCGTGAAAGTCACCGTCCCCGGAGTGTGATAATTCGATCGGCGTGATGCATTGTTATTGACCGGAAGCCATTCTCATCTGTATAACCTTTAATGGAAAAGAATCGCGCGGTCTTCCCTCCCTAATAAATGCGTCGAGTTAAGGGACTTCGTGGACTCGTTCCTACTTACTCGAGCACATTTGTCTCTGTCGACGAGTGATCCGATCGAGCACGACGCTAAAATTGAACTTTTAGCTACGAGCTCGCTGTTTCGCGAGACCAGCGACGCCTCGATCACCGGAACGAAGCGAAAGAAATCATTTAATCAAGTGATAAATAAATTTACAGTGTCGAGATGAGATTTTTTTAAAAGTTCCTTAAAGAATAAGGTGGATAGTAACGTTCTGAATAATATCGTAAGGTTTGATTAATAAGTTTTTCGACATCGACGATCCGCGAGAGGATGTACAGGGGGTGTAATCCGGTAAATCAACCGTGAAACTAGCAGCTTCCGTGGTTTATTCGCTACGTCGCGTCGTTAAGTGCACTTCAGCGACACACCAATACGACTATGTTCGAACAGAATCGTCGAAATTTATCGGACAAAGAGGACCTTTAGACTCAAACGTAATGGCTCCGCTCGGGTCCCGTAAGCTTTACAGCTCGTAGTCGGTCTTAAAGAAATTTCTGATTGTTCCTTTCATACTTTTTACTAAAACAATAATGAATCTGTTACTGTCCCGGGACAAATGGTATCATTTTTCTAAGGCCGTCAGGTTTCTGGTAACATCAGAACAGTTCGGAATATGGTAGACGCGGACTTCGGGTTAGACCAGGAGCAATCAAGCTTCACAGTAGTGCTGAAGCAATCATGATTCACGTTAGGCTAGAAACAATCAGACTTCGTGGTAGTACCGAAGCAATCAAACTGTACGTAATAGTAACATGCAGACGTAGAAACGACGTGGTAATTTTGACTATAAATTATCTCATTACTTGCACCAGTTTGCTAACACTCAGTTTTTGTACTCACCCAGGCGTCTCTAATTTAATTTCTAGGTTGAAATCTAAGTGAATATAAAATTCGAGTATTTCTTTTCAAAATGCAATCACTCTCTATAATAGAAATTCTTTGTAACTATTTTCTCACCTGTTGTCCCTAAAATCGAGGGTAAAATGTAACTAAATATAACATTCTAATATTTCTTTTCAAAACGCAATGTTTATTCTTAATAAAAATTCTCCTTTTTCCTCCATTTGTCGTCTCTAAAATCGAGGCTATTATAATACGATAAAATGTTTTTTTACGAACTGAAAATGATTTTTCCCCAAAAAATGAGTACGTCAGACGATTAAACATATTCCAATGAAGAGTAAGGAAAGTTTCTGAGTTAGGAAATTCTAATATTCTTTGCAAAACATAATCCATCCCCGTAATAAAAATTCTCCCTTTTCCCCCATCTGTCGTCGCTAAAATCGAGGCTATTATAAGTACGATAAAAAGTTTTTTCACGAACTGAAAATGATTTTTCCCCAAAAAATGAGTACGTCAGACGATTAAACATATTCCAAAGAAGGGTGGGAAAAGTTTCTCAGCAGTTTCGTTCGAAGACGGAATGTACACAGATTTACGACCAACGGCGGCGTGGATCGAGTTTCTGTCGACGTTTCGCATGAAAAACGTGGACACGAATTTCATTAGCGAGTCGCGCGCGGGGATCGCCGGTGAAGATGACGCGGTCGTTCGTCGTAGACGCGAGCTCAGCTGAAAACGAATCCGTGCGCGAACGGGATCGTCGCACTTGACCCGAACGACCGGGGCGCTGATTAAAACACGGCTGCCGCTCTCCTATTTGTCAACGACACGTGTCGCCGCGATTATTCGTTCGTTCGTCGAAAGTTCGCGTCGGGGCGCGTTACAAGTCGATCAACGAACGGGAGAAGTCCGTGATCCGTCGGCGCCGTTGCAAATCATCCCCTGCCACGCGTAGCCCTCTCCGCGTCCCCCATTTTCTCGTCTCACGAGGCACGACTTGGTCATAGGCGGCGACGAACCCGATGCGCCATTAATTGTACTCGTTTGCAAACTTCCGTGCACGTCGCGGCACGTTAATTGACGCGATCAATCCGACGCTTTGGCGACGCTCGTGGCTGTCACGGCTGATTGGCAAACTTCGATCGGAATGAAGCGAAATCAAACAGACAATGATTTTGTTGGGTACAGACGCAAGATCTGGCTACATTTTTAAGATGACTGTTGCTTTTGTTGTACTAGTTGTCATAGAGTACCGAAATGATATGGTATGAAAGTGAGTGATGTTTGTATGGAAGGATGAGTGTGACGTGTATGGTCTAGATGATTCGAAGAGTGAACGAGAGCCATTTTTTGAATATAATATTTAATAATCAACTGTGGTTACTTGATTGTTTCACTCACAACTTTGGTCTCCGTGCACTAAAAATATTAAGAAACACGACACATTGGAACGTATCTTTATTTTTTACCAACCGGAAAATGGAAGCTGCTCCGTTTTGACGAGAACACATAAACGGTACGCGTCGATACGGTTGTTTGTAAGTCGAGCAGGTACTACGGGGGGTATTGTTTCGAGATCAATCGGGTCGAAGAGAAATTGCGAGCGCGTGAAAAACGTTTTCCGCCTCCGCGCCCTGGAATATGCATCGTCTGCGAACGAACGACGTCTCGCGACCGCCTTACGAGTCTCGCGAATTTTTCCTCCCTCCCGGAAGCCACGCGTGTTCGCGAAAACGCGCGTAATGAGTCAAAGGAAATTCGCGTAGAACAATGCTCGCGCTGTATGGGGCGCGGCGCATTTCAGGCTAACAAGCATTTAATTCGAACCGTTCGACTGCTCCGCGTACGTAATGGCGTACGAAGTTCTCAGCAAAATTCCTACGTATGGTGAAACGCCAATCTCGCGGCCTGTACTGAGCTTCGAATATCTTGAATTTGGCGCAACAATTTTCTTTTATGTCGTATCAAAGTTTACATCGTATTGTATTTTATTATCTCAGAAGTTCGTGGAGAATTTTATATTACAAATGAGAGGAATGTACTATTACATTTTACGAAGAATATTTATATTATTCTCGATTTTTGGTACGTACTTTTCATATATTTACACTTGCTTGGTATTCAAAATCCGTTTAACCCTTAAGTGGATTATCAGAGCTGCTGCTCCATTATTAATTAAATGTTGTAAGGGGAAAGTTGATTTTCATTTACCAACTTGGTAAAAATCAACATTAACCTCTTCACGCCTTTGGCCACATATGTGAACGTTTAGTTTTTTTTTTTTTATATAATTGTAGTTACTGTCAATAATAAATAGACCCAAAAAAAAAAAAATCGTCCCTGAAAAGGTTAAGTAAAATAATTCAGTTGAGATTGAGAGTCCACTTAAGGGTTAAAATTGCAAGTTATGTAAAACAGCTGTATTGTTTTATTTAATGAACGAGGTCATCAAGCAAAAATAAATATTCTTGTATTTCTTATTCTTACGAATATTAATAGATCCAACAAGATGAAAGTGTACTCACTGTGTTTGCCCAGGTAGATTGGTGTCCATGTCACCTGCGAGTGGACGAGGGTCGTAGCCACGAAGAGAACAGCCCCGCACCACACACTCAAACGCGTCGCACTCATTTCACTAACGTCCCCAACGATCGCCATTTCCCTCGTTTCAATCAGTTCTCTGCCTTAATATCATCTTCACCGGTTCGCCCACCGCGCCCCTCGCTCCTATATCCGTCTGACTTCGATTTTATTATAGCGATTAAACGAGAACTTCCTATATCGGGTATCAATAATTCCAGCTTCGATTAAAACATTCGCGTCCCGCGTCTCTTTAAACCTCGAAAAGTTGGCTAGCGAAACGATGAAGAGAACAGGGGGGAGCACTTTTCTAAACTAAACTGGAGATCCAGACACCAATCGGGCTCGAGTTCCTCTCGCTAGCCAACTTCTCGCGAACGCACAGTGGCTCGCGAAAATTGAACGCTATGAATTTATTATCCCAGGAATTTGCTTCGCGAGATAATTTCCTACAGTCGTAAAAACGACGAGGTTTAATGATCCGTGAACGAGCATCTGTTCTCATTGGTCCCGACGTTCGCTGTTAAATCGTCCGTGTTGCTACGGGATTCCCTCGAACGAAAACTTTTAAATTAGCGCCACCTTGCCCTTCCCGCGTATCGCGTTACGTAAAATCTCGTCGGTTTCCGCGTCGATGGCGATCCGTTTTCTTCCGCGTTTCGCGTTCACCCGCGGCCAGGTACTACCCAGGAACGCGATCACCGCCCGGGGCCCCCCCCCGAGAAACAATTTCGTTCCTCGTCGACGCGTTTGAGGGGCTCGCAAAGACGCGTTTCGACTCTTTTGCCGCGGCTCTACCCGCCCGACAATCCCCCGCGTAGCTTCTTTTGTCCGCGTTCTCGCTACTACGGCGGGTTCGGCCTTTCCCTGAGAGCGCCAGCTTCCGTCTGAAACAAAACAGCAAATCCGGCCCGTTAGAGAGGACGCTTTAACGCTCGATCGTTAGGGGATAAAGCGTGAATACGCTTCCGGTCGATGCACGACAGAAACCTGCTTCTTGTGCATTAACGCAGGTCCTTGGATCGTCGAAATTACTTCCTCCCTCGACGCGGTTAAAACTTTACACGCATCGATTTTCAGATAATTATTGGCTCTTATAGTATGTTAATACAGACTTAAGAAATGTACTCTTTTTAAAAATACTATAGATGACTTGAAAATAAAATTTATTTACCTAATTTTTTTCCATATATTGAGAAAGGATATAATTTTCGACGTGGTAGAAATATTTGGACACTCATGAAAATGTACTTTTATGAACACATTTACTATTCATGTGTTTATTATTGAATAATGCATTTACTAAGATTATTAACGCAGGTCCTTGGATCGTCGAAATTACTGCCTTTTTCAACACGTGTACAAAATTTACACGTATCGATTTTTAGAAAATTATTCTTATAGTATCTTAATACAGACTTTTTTAAAACACCATAGATTGACTTGAAAATAAAATTTATTTACCTAATACTTTTCCAACTATTGAGAAAGGAAATAATTTTCGACGTGGTAGAAATACTTGGACACTCGCGAAAATATATTTTTATATCAAGTGCATATGAACACATTCCTGTGTTTATTATTCAACACTGATTCCGAATGTTACAAATTCTCAGTTAATAACTAAATGTCATTTTCTAATATAATCAATTCTTCCATTCAATATTCGACCAAATAAACATCAATTGAGGTATTATTTACGAAGCAATAACGGTGCTTGAAATAATTATTTCGAGACTGTTTGGTCTCGAATTTCGAAAGTGTGCCCGGAAGCGAGTGCACGAACGTAGATGTTTGGGCTTGTGAAGACACGCGTCAAGAGATGTGGTGGTTGTGTGGTTTGGCGATTCCGATTGGATAGGTCGATCGAGAGTCAGTTGGGATCGGAAAGTTGTTCCACGGAAGTTTCACAATCAAGAGCCACGGTACAAACAGTTAGAGTTAAAGAGCTGTCGTCGAGGCAGATGCATCGTATCTACAATTCTACTAAAATTTGCAACTATTATCGTTTAAAGAATCGTTTTCACCCAAGAATTAGTTGAAGCAGCACGAAAATTTAGCTTAGAGAGCTTGATGTATTTACGAGCCGTTTCCAGAGTAAGAGTTACAATGAGATTATGCCATAACTGTTAGGGTACAACACCGTTTATGGCTGTGCTAGACCTAATCCAGCTTATTGCTGGCACTAAACCGTCTTCAATGAGCCTACAATTAAGTCTTACACGCGGACAAACTTGTAATCAACCCGTGTTATAAGCAGACGTCCTCGCTGGCGTTGGAATTCCTGGAGTTAATGAATTTTCAAACTTCCTGTAATCTTTTTAAGGATTCCTTGCTCGAAATAAACTTCAACTAATCGCTCGATAACTTTGTATTATTAACGGTAGTGGGGAGTTCGTACAAATAGAAAACGGTTATTAATATATTTGTTACCGTCCCGAAATAATTGGACGCTCGCGGTACGTGACAAGGTAGCGAAGTGTGAATTACACCGCGAGGCAAAATAGAATTGGAATGTGCCTGATGTACAAATTGATTAATCGAATTAAATAATATCGAAATCCCGACGAATATGCCCGGACGTCGATAATTAGCAATTCTCTCGCCCCGTTAAAATAATACACCAAGAATAAATATGAACAAACTTGAACGAAATTGTTTGAATAATTTATGAGGCAAGAACCGGAGCAGTTGATGCTGATACTCTTTGTTTTACTGGTCTTAAACCTTTGCAGTCGTATGTCGAGTGTGATTCGACGTCAATTTTTATCTCAGGAGCTCCTTCGTCAAGTCCAAATCAAAGAGATATCATACACTTGAAAATTACAAAATACAACAACAGTGTAAATAAAACAGATATTTTAACAGGTAAATCTCAAATAAAACACTTGAAAGCGTTGGGAGCTGCTGGTAACAAAATTGAAGTATAATTCGGAGTGCAAAGGATTAAACTATCACCTTTTCAAGCACTTGGTTCCCATTAGCATCTCGATGCCGGAGTAACAGATACGACTAAACAATTTTATCGAACGATTCACCGTAAAAAATTCCTAGATTGATCGAACAACGTCGAAACGCCAGTTTCAGTGATTGAAAAAGTTTCCCAAGATCGATAAGAAAAAATTCCCCTGAAATTGTTACCCAGCGTATCGAGAGCTGTCCAGCATCCCGCGGAATCCGTCAGAAATTCGATGGCGATAACTGGAACCGTGTACAAAACACGCTGTTTCGAATATTCCTAGTAACGAAGATCACGCGGTGTAGCGACATTCCGGTCGTCGTTCCCCCTGGCAAATGTCGTCGATGTCTCGTTAGCGTATCTGCATCGGCAGAAGGTACGCGTAAGCACGGTTTTCCCGATCCCCAGCGATAACACCGACGATCTCGCGATGTTGTCTGAGCGGAGGCAGGACCGTCATTACGAGACAGAGCGAGTCCTGGTAGTATCTTAGCCGCTTGTAATGTGACAAGCCGGGAGTCAAGCCCCGTCCCGTCCTGTTATTCACTCGTTATCTCAGCGCGTTCGAGGCATCTCGTGTTCCCTGGTCCGTCGGTTATGAAAAGCATCGCTGCGCCAGACAGCTTCCCGTGAACTCGCAGGCGTCATCTGAGAATCGTTTCCTTCGAGGCACTCCTGCTCCACTTATCGTCCTGTCCGTCTATTCGCTATCTACTGAAACGCGATCGAGCCTCGCGGCTCGTGCATCTTCCAGACGATGCCTCTCCGGGGCGCGATTAAACGATCCCTGCTGCCTTTACCCCGTCGTACGTGAATGATTTATTGGATCGTCGATCGAATTACGACTGACGGGCCCGTGTCGATGCAATATTTATTTTCACGGTCACAACTGTACAACTTGAGGAACATTTTCTCTGTGAATCTCGGGAGAAACGATGCTGAGAAAAATAAGGGTTGCTTTCTATCTTGAAGAAATCATTGATGATTTAAAAATTTATTCCCCGGAGAATAGAGTTTTAAAAAAAGAATGATTGGGAAATGTTAAATCTGTGAAAATGTATTTGTTGCTGAAAGTGAGTCAATAAAGAGAAGAGATGCATACGTGGATATTTGATATTCCGTTTCGATCGCGAGCAAATTAATTTTTGCCTATTGATCAAGCAAGGATCCCGTTCGAATGATTGGAAAATGTATTTGTTGCTGAAAGTGAGTCACTAAAGAGAAGAGATACGTAGACATTCGATATTACGTTTTCGACCGTGAGCAAATTAATTTTTTCCTGTTGTTCCAGCAACGATCCCGTTCGTGGATGATTTTGTTTATTAAAGACTGGTTCTCCGTAGGAATCTTGAATGTCACTTCGATACGTTCCGTCGACTAGGTTCCATTGACCTTCTTGGCAGATTATTCTATAGGTCAGTCAGGCCGCCTCCGTTCCGAATCCAATCGTCCAATTACAGGTCGCTGCGTCTATTGGAGAGCAGACCGTATCTACGGTCCGTCCAAGTGTCTCTTTATAGGATGAAGATTCCTTTCTTTAACTCTCCTCTCTATTTCCTTCGAGGTAGACTTTGTCGATGGCGGCCGCGGTGAACGAGCCCATTGAAAAGGCGCCGATGCAGTTAACTTAATCCAGGTGCTGATTGGACACGCTAACCGAGAACGGCGGAATACGACCAGCGGAATAAGAGAAGAAACGCAAAGAGGATGCCGCGACCGACCTTAATTGTGCCACGCAATTATGGCCACTTCCGTTTGATAGAAGTAATGCACCGTTAAAAAAGAAAGTGGAAGGCGTACTTGAAATCTCTGGTTATGGGAACGTCGTTCGTACAAAGGAATAAAAAAAACCTCGTCGATACCCTTTCTTTTTCTAGCTATTACTCTTCAAATAAAGCCTTCTCGTCGCTTCGACTTTTCCATACAATATTTTGAAATAATTTGGGTAGGTTTTAGTAAACTGGTAAGAAAATAAAATTAAATCAGCTGTGCACGTTTACATAATCTAGTAAACTTTTATTTAATAATATTCCCCGAATTCAAAGGAATTGTTTGTGTTATTTTTAATTTTTTAAAAGTTTGTTTGAGGTCTCCAAAGGGTAAATTTATACAGTTTCCGGGGTGAATCGAGGCTCACGCGTTGACGGTGTTAA